GAAACTTTTATATTATAATTTTTCTTAGACTTTTATAATCTAACGGGGTGTAAAACAACCTTAATTTTAAAGCTTGTGTGTTATTATTATCGTTAAGCTTTATTTTATCATTTCCATACACCCATACACCCACAATGAAATTCTTAAATAAATTTTCTGGAAAATTTATGCACTTTTGATGCCAACATGTTGTGGGACAAAATAAGACATTTGTATTTTTGTGTATTTGTTTTTTACATTGTGTATTTTTTTTTACAGTTGACTCTTGATATCTCGACAACTCGATATCTCGATCCTTTGTGTATCTCGAGCTTTATTTCCGGTCCCTTGCGCACTTGCTTGAGCCAATGTCCTCTCGATATCTTGAACTTTTTTCCCGGTTCAAGTTGTTATTTAACATATTAAAATGTTTATTATATATTATTTACTTATATTTATTATATTTACTTAATATGTTTAAATTTTATCTAACTGGTTTATTTGTTGCATTTATTTTTGTTTTAAACAGTCTAGTAATGTAAATATTATATATAATAAGTAAATTTCCAAATCTATAGACATTAAAAATGTTTAGTTTTTGAATTAAGTTGTAGTAAAATACAAACTGGATATTAGGGTAGAGTGGGGCTAGTTGAGAATAAGGGCAAGTTGGGCACTAAAATACCTCAAAAACTACGCATACATGACAAAGCATCTAATGGATGAAATTTAGGAAATTAAAATGTTAACACAATGCGCACAAAAGATTGCTGAAAAGCTATTAAGTAAGATACACGGGCACTTTTTCTATTTTGGGCCAAAAAACTGAAAAAAATTTTTTTTTGCTATTTTTCTCTTTTATGCTTATAAAATTTTTATCTGCCATCATTCAAGTATTAATAATTTACCAATTTATCGGATTATTGATTGAAATTAATTGCTTTTTCTTAAGTTTTACTGTTCTTTTTAAAACCCAACTTTAAAAAAAATAAATAAAACTGAACTAAAGAACACAAGAAAACAACTAGATATAGTTGATAAGAAATAATAGATAGGTACATTACTTATATATATTTTTAAATAAGTAATTTTTAAATCGGGCTTCAAAGTTCAAGATAGTTGTAAAAAATTATATTTTTATATTGTATGACACTCTCTTACTACGTAATTTCTCTTTTTTTACTTACGTCATTAAATAAAATTACTACGTAATTTCTCTTTTTTTACTTACGTCATTAAAGTGTATAAAATAAAAAGCTTTTGTTTTTCACTAACAGTATGTGTGTAAACTATACACACGCTTACCCAGTGAGCATGCGTCGTCCGGGGGACGTCCATTGGACGTCTTACGGACGTCTGGACGTCCATGAGACGTCCAGCAGACGTCCTCCGGACGACGCTTGCCCACTGGGTACTGTTAGTTAAAGTTTTACTGATGATTCACCCTAGTTTCGTACCATACATTTTCATTTATTTATTGATTTTTCAACTTACCACACACTATTGCTCAACTTACCCCGCTGGGGCAGGTCGAGCAGTTCCGCAAACTTTAAGCAATATCTTCTCAAAAATTATACTTTTTTTTCAACAAATTTTTAGCAGTTTAAATAATCTTCCAATAACAATATGGGGAAAAACGGGGCAAGAAAAATAATAATATGGGGGTAAACGTGGCAAGATGAATTTTTAGGTAACAACTCAACAAAAAAAATTAAATAAAGCTGAAAATAAAACTGTATTTGCATCTTGTATATTAAAACGCCAATATAATTTTTAGATATTATTAACGCAATTTTGTACGCATTATAATGCGTAAGTAATTGCGTTAATAATATAAAGTAATATATAATATAAGTAAATTATAGTTTACATTATGCTTAAAAATAAATAACTCATTCATAATGGGTGGTGTCCTTCAAGTGTAACTTTTTTAGGTATTGTTTTTTGCGACGAGTGTTTATTTTGTGTTACTTTAGTTAAATTAGTTGGTAGTTTTTAAATTTTATAAAATAGAGGCAGAAATTGCATAAAAAGTCATTTTGCCTCGGTCACGTGATCAGATGACAAATCTATAAACTTTTTATTTTAATTTTATTTTAAATTTTTCAACTTTCAAACTAAAAATTTATGAAGGCAGTGAATCATTATGAAAAAATAAACATACTGACAAAGTATAATTGCTTCATTACTAATAGTTTTGCAATAACTCAGAGCTTTCAAAACGTTCGCCATCGTGTCCCGTTTTTCCCTATGTAATAACATACTGATCTTTTTCTAGAGTTTATAAAACATTTGCAAAACACAAAAAAGCTACTGAAAATAAAATTCTTTCAATTTTAGATGGGCACAAAACACGTAAAAAGAACATTAATTTGTGCAGCCGTGGTGCAGTGGTTAGAGAGCTAGCTCAGAACCCGGAGGTCCGATGTTCTATGTTGGGTCCAGACCAATAAGCAACATTGGTAAGGAAGGAGGCGTGAGCTATCTAGTTAAATGCTCTTCTGAGGTGGTGGTGGTGGTGGTGGAATTGTGGTTTATTTACCTTAGATTAGTTCTAAACAATCTGTCTGTTTCTATACATCATTTATCGACAACCTTCACTGTGGCAAAATGAGACAATTTAGGTGTTGTCAATAAATGATATCTAAAAACCTAATCACTGGAGTTTTACATCTCATATTTTTTGAATTATTGTAAGATGTTCGAAGACTACAAAAAAATTTAGTTTTCTTTTCAAAACTTGTTACATAGGCTGTATTAGATAAACTAATGCTTTAGTGTCTCATTTTGTCTCTCACACCCCTAATTCTTTTAACTATTGTGAAACTAGATTTTAATATTTTGATTACTCTTTAAAGTATTTTTACCACAACTTTTGTCACTTCGTCTTCCTATTGTTTCATTATTAATTACCATACTCCAAAAACTCTTCTATTCAAGATATTGTTTCTATTAAATTGAATAAGCTCTTTATCTATTTACACATCTGCCAAAATTCGTTGTTTTTGTTCAACTTTGTCATATTGAATGGCTCCAATACCATCGACTTTAAGTCTTAAAATATTTGTCTTTCTTAATCTCTCACATAAATGTGTTTTTTATGTCACTTTTGAATTCAGGCAGACTTGGAAGCTTTTCTTGCGTTATTCCTACTAATGACCTTATTACATTATTCATATCTTTACACAACCTTACAAACAGGTTCATTTTTTGTTTTATATTTTAATGGTTTTTGCCAGTGGGGTTAAAACCATTTCTCTCATATATTTTTCTTCAGCTAATGCCTCGCACATCTTTGTCTTATTTTTTTTAAAAGTTTCCTTCAAACCTCTTTATTTTTGAAACTTTTTAACAACTGTTTATTTGAACCTTATTTTCTAACCTGCTAAAAAGCTCCGTCCGTCTTACGTTCTACAACTTATGAGTATTTAAATTATGATTTAACTTGTTATTTCAAAAATTGATAAAAAACTTTTGCTGTTTGTAAAAAAAAATTTAACTTTTTTAAAGAACATTTATTTTTATCTTGTAAAATATCTTGCAAATAAAACATTACTTGACTTTTTTATTTCCTAAAAAATAAATGGTTTTTATTTCCTAAAACTTATTCATTAAAAGAACAGTTTAGCGCACAGATTACCATGTCCACGCGACGGATAATTTTTATTAGTAAAATGTTATTAAAATAAAATGTGGTGGTTATTCCCATTTACAAAAATCATTAAGAAATTTTTGTTAATAGTATTAACACGTGCCCTTACGTCAAAACATTGTGTCACGCGTCACACTTCTTACGTCAAAGCATTGTGTCACACGTCGCACTTAAATTTTTTGCAACAACTTTTTCGCCACTTTATTTTACATTAAATTTATTTGGTTTCGCCAAAGTCTCGTTTTTATGATACTACTATAAACTTTTTTAGTAGTGGTATAACCAAAAAAAACTAAATACGAATAAATCAAAATACTTGTTTACGTTTTACGGGAACAAATTTCATTTAAAATTTATATATATATATATATATATATATATATATATATATATATATATATATATATATATATATATATATATATATATATATATATATATATATATATATATATAACTATTTTAAATTTGAATTAGTTATTTTAATTATTTCAGCAGTAAAATTCATAGAAGTAAAAAAAGGAGAAATATTTTACATATATTGAAAAATGAGCAGCATTTACGAAAAGCACAACTCGTCATTTTTTTTGAAAAAAAAAGCCTTCGTTAAGTATTTATTATATAAAGTAATTTTGGCAACTTTAATTCCCTAAATAACTTTACAACAAAAAGTTACAACTAAAATAAAGAAGGAAAAAAAAAGAAATACCTGGGGCGAATTTACGTAAAACCACGAATTATAAATGGTTTTATTCCGCATAAAAAAATTAATCAAAAATCTATCAAATGGCGCCTAATTAACTGGCTATTTTTTAAAAGTATAGTTCTGCTTTTCTTTGACGTATTTACTAACATAATTTAGAACGTTCACCACCGCAAAGTTAGTCTCCAAAACAAAAAATATTTTGTTACATTATTCCTTAGTTAAATAGATCCTTTGTCTAATTTAACAAGATATAGTTTCTTTGTTTCCCTTTGAAATTGTTCTTAATTGTTTTTTGTTGGTGTTGAACACATGTTGCACAACTAACCTATATTAACAACGGTTTATTGCAAAATAACAAACAATTGAATCTGGAAATTTATTTGCTGAGCTCCAAAACAAATAAAAATCTTTTTTGAGGTTGCAACAAAAAAATTCCTTTGTTTGTTTATTGCTTTTTTTTAACTGTTTATTTAGTCATTGTATAGGTTATATAGTGAAGATATGAATTTGCCAACACCTGTTTTTTAATTTATAAAAAATGATCGACATCTTTCAATTTTAACCTTAATTTTATGGTCATAAAATAGAATATCAATGAGTACCAATAAAGGATTTAAGTATAAAATAGTATATAGTTAATTAATTGAAGAAAAAAAAAATAACTTTTAATGTTTGAAGAGTCAAATCAACCCATTCACAAAATATTTATAACGATATTTAAAAAATATCGTGAAAAGTTTAAAAAATATTTGTACAAATATCTAACAAAATAAAAAAAAATAAAAAATTTTCTTTGTCTTTTTACAATATAAAAAAATCTATGGAAAGCTCAAAAAGTTTGTTAAAATATCCAAAACATGAAAATCTCAAGAAAAGTTCTAATATAACCCTTTTTTAAGGTCATTTAACCGACGTATTAAAATTTTTCTCCGTTGTTTCTCAAGCTCTAGATCAACAAGCAACTTTTGCTCCTGAGCTTTGAGCTCGTTTAAATGTTCTAAACCCTTTTTCAATATTTGAATTTTTGGGGCTTTTTCATTAGAAGCGAGTTCAGGTATATTGTCTCTTAAGATATTGAACCGAATTTTAAGATCGTTCCTTCTTTGTCTTTCAAGAACATTATGTGTGGTTCGGCTTAATACTGGCTCTTGTTTAATACTATGTCGATGTTCAAAGTTGTCGGTAATTTGGTGTTCAAAAATACCAGGAGCGTTTAGATAGTGGTTTTGTAGAGGAGAGTAGCTTGGAATGTACGAGGGGTTACAGTAATACGGTTGATTATTTGGTAAGCCTAAAAAGTTATTTTCACTGCTGTTAATAGAGAGGGGGTATTGAAAGTAGTTACTTTGTTTTTCGCTTTCATAATGACGTTGATCATCGGGCAAACCATCCCAATACCCTATAAAAAATGCAATCATGTCGGTTTAGTAAAACTAATATAAGCAAACATTAATTGCAGTTTAATTATCTAAAAATGATAATTAATTTAAAGCGCTGATCGTGAAACATTTTTTAAAATGCTTATTGTATTCGTACTTCGTGAGATTTTTTCTCTATAAATAATTTTTTAGAAAACAGAAAAAAAAGTTTAATAGTATAAAATTATTTTTTTTAAAACAAAAAACTTCATGGTATTTCTATATTGAATCCTTTATATATAAAACGCTTTTGCTTCCTGTTAATTCTATTTTGGGCTTGTTTTAACGTAACTTTTTGAAAAAATAAAACCGCAACTAAAAACATGAATATATTTAATAGGATTATAACTGCACTTAAATTGGTTCTTCAAATTGCGTTTAAAATTATAAGTTTTTATTAACGCAATTATGTAAATTAATTTTATTTTGTTTATAAATTTAATATTTGAAATAATAAAGTTACATCATCAAGCCGGAATAAAATAGCTTATTTACCCTACATACTGTAGATACCAATAAAAAGAAAACTTTTTATTGGCATTGTCTTTTATTATTAAAAAAGAATTTTCCATTTGTTTAGCAATTTTAAATAGATTCAGGAAGATTTTTTTTGTTGATATAAATTTTAGGTTTTAAATTAAAACTGTGGTTATAATTTCGGTATTGTTAAACACCTTTCTTATAGCTAATTTGTTTCCAATTTGAAAGAGGTGGAATAGAAGGAAAAAATAATAATTTAAATAATAGCCCATTCTTTACAGTATGAAAACACCGATTAGAAAGCTAAATATGTTTATAAACTCAACTTCAGCATTATTATAAAATGAAAGTTTTCTAAAATGCAACAAAAAAATTAATTTGAAAAAAGGTTTTTATTTGATTCATAACTCGTTATTGAATAATCAAATTTAAACTTATTATAAGATAAAGTTATGAAAACCAAACTAAATTTAAGTTAAATTTTTATAAAAATTAATTAACAAGATAATTCTTTGATGTTTCTACAATTTTAAACTATATCGCAAATAAAAAAAATACCTTCATTGTATGTAGTCGAATAATCAAAGGATGGTACAACTTGCAGGCCTACAATTTATTTAAAATAAATTAAAATCGTTAAAATATTAAACAAATTAAATTTATGAATCAAATTTGCAATTAGAGATTGAAACAATTGTTTTAACAAGTATGAGCTTGACAAAATACCAAAACAATATATATATATTTTATTTTTTTTTATAGAAGTTTCAATTTAATGTTATTGTATATTAACGAACAAAACGCAAAAGGATTAAGCATGTCTGAAAATGGTTTGTAAAAAAGTTATTTTAAAGCTTTCTCTCAATCCCCCCCCCCCTCCTCATCCTCTCCACTTAAAAAATATTTCATTCACTTGAACACCCAAATAAATAATAATCCAACAACAACAACAACAACAACAACAACAACAACAACAACAACAACAACAACAACAATAATAATAATAATAATAACAATAATAATAATAATAACAATTCCAGCAAAAATAATGACGGTTACAACATTAAATTATAGTTGATTTAAAATTATCATTAAAAAATAGTACTAATTAAAAGAAGAAGGACAATAGTAATAAAATAAACTATGGATATAAAACTGAATTTTATTGTTGTCATTGTTATAACTATATAATTACACTGACATGTATCAATAATAGCAACATTAATTTAAAAAAATAAACAATAAAATTTTATTTAAATCAATAGTTATAACAATAATTTTAAAAAGTTATTATTATAAAAGTTTAATAATCACAATTAATAATTTACGTCAAGTTTAATTAATTCTTACCTTGCGCACTTTGCCCATACATCATTTTTTCTAATAAATAAAAATTTAAACATTAATTATAACATATTTACAGACTATTACCTAATAGCAAATATAATTGTGTAAATATAAAGAAATTATTCTTACATTTTAATTGACGTTAAAAGGAAAATTTTTGTTGTTGTTTCTACTTACACCAAGAACAAATCTTTCTTGACTTTAAAAAAGTTCTATCTTCTTAATAAACCGTAAAATACCGCTCAAATACTTTATGAAAGAGCTTTACGTAATTCATGGAAATGTAATTGGTTGAAGTCGACAATGAGCACAGGTGGTTTTCCAAATGTGAATTATATATAAAATTGTTTTGAATATAGTAACTTTTTAAATAATTTTTTAAAGAATAAAAAAGGAAAGACAACTATCAATTCGAAATCGGTCTATTGATCTTTACAATCCGAAAAAAATCTTTAAGCGAGGAGCATTTTATTTTGAACTTTATTCTTATCGTTCAGCAAATTTGCGTTCACAACGAAACATTTTGCGTAAAAATTATTAGCGCGAGTTTAAAATGATAAATTGTTGAAAGGCTTTGAAACGCAAGCTTTGAAATCAAAGAAGCCGAAAAGTTGGAATTTTGCTACTGAAAAACAGAAACATTGTTAAACTAAAATTCAACCAAAATATTATTTTTTAAAACATCAATCAAGTTGCATCAATTCAAAAATTGTCATAAAACGATAAAAACAGGTTTTAAAAATTAAACATTAATCATAGGTTATACGATCGTCCTAAATGATAACAAGATATTTTATCACATATTATGTAACATTGTCTCTAAAATAATTTTTCTATATTTTTTTTACCATATATTTTTATATTTTAAAATTATTTTTTTAGTTAAGGTATTGATTTTTATATTCATTTCCATTGTGCACGCGTCGTTCAATGGTCGTCCATCGGATATCCAGATGTCCGTAAGGCGCCCGACGGACGTCCCTCGAATGAGGCATGCCTACTATGTTATAGGGAAAGGTTGTGAAAGTTGAGCATGTTTTCAGTGTAATATATTTTGCTTCCAAAAGATAACAAAAAGATTTATATTTTTTTAAGAATAATGATAATTTAATCTTTTCTCTCAAAGAATATCAATGAAATGATGGAAAATAAATAAGCCTTTATACCAAAAATTCCATTATTTTCAACTATATCAATTTTCTCATTTTAGGAAATTAGTTTCCGAAGATGAGCTTCTTTTAATGGAATTCAAAAAAACTCAAAATAACGAAAAAATAATCACAACAAAAGTTAAATAAAATGGTATCTTCAAGGGCTATACGTAAGTAAAAAGTAATTATCACAACCATAAAAAAAAACAATAATAAATCTTTCCTATCTTTAATAAAGTTAACGATACTATTTTTTGAAAGAACGCTCTTGAAATACCAAAATAAAGTTCTGCGGAGAATTTAAAAACTTTAAAAAACGCACTTTTCTTAATAAAAAGCCGCATCTTGAGCGTCTAAAAACGTATCTTCTTAAGCAACTTCACCAAGTACTCATAATTGAAATAGCATGACAACCGCTTATGTATTATTTCATATAACCCATAAAAATTAGCAGTTGATAAGCATAATATATTGAGAATGTAATAAATTTTTGATGATCTTATTTCGTTCTGACTTAATTCCAAAATATTGAATAATAACCGGGGTTGTAAATTTTTTAAAAAGTAAAACAATCAAAGAATATTAACTATACAACCAAGAAATTAAAATAAATAACACCGTCGAACTTTTTAAAGTCGAAAAAATTATTAGTCTACCCGTAAAAGTGGTTATACCATCTTAGGAACCTGCTCATCTTATGCAACCTTCCTCTAACTCTTTTATTAAATAGAGGAGAGTTGCCGAAATTTGAACACTTGCATTTATTTTGGAAATAAAGTGCATTATAGCTATATTTTGTTTTTTTCTAGTTAAATGTATTTAGTTCTACGTTTCAAGAGACTTGGAAAGTTATTCCTCAAAAAATGCACGTGTACCATTGGTTTAAAACTATTTTGCGTTCTTATTTTTTTTTTTTTAATTTTTTTTTTTTTTTTTGTCATCTAATTTTGTGTTCAAACTATATTGGTTGCACTCGGTAAACTATATTGTTATGGTTTTGCGTTTAATTTACAAGTTATACCGTTTGCGTTTTACGCGATGGGATTTAAAATGCAAATAATTGCATGAACTTAAATTTTTAAGTTGTGACCAGTATAATATTGCATTGATATAACAAAATACTCCAAAGTTTCATTGATTGAAACTATAAAGATTTCCTTCCTAATCAAAGGGTTGAAGAATCAGGTCAGGTGCAATTTAAAAATAAATAGTTACAACCATAAACAGAACTTTATTTTGTGATTTTCAATTTTAAAAAAAAAATCATAATTTTTGAAGCTTTTGTACAATTTTTTGTTTGCAGAATTTTATTTTTCCCGGGCAATATTAGTTCTATTATAATTTTCGAATAAATTGTTTAAATTTACTGTAAAGGTAAATATTTTGTTAATGCTTGTTGATTTTACTGGAGTTTTATGTAAAAGAAGCAACCTGTTCTCAATAAGGAAGTATTCCAATTTAGGAAACCGGTTGTCTTGTTTAGAACAAATCTTTTAAGTCAAGTTATCGTTAAAAGTATAGTAAAGTTGTTTGTTTGCATTAATTATATCATAATTTTTTTTTATATATAGTTAACCTATCTTAGGTTAATAAAGATTTATTCCTTAAGTGTTCCAATTTCGGTAACTCTCCCGTATTTACTTTTTTTATTTTTAATACTTTTGTTATATACTTATTTTTCTAAAATTATTGTTTTGTATTAACCCTTACAAAAAAGTGTTTTGTAGAGACCAATCACTTTTATTTTTTCTTTCTTTATCTTTCTCTTTCCTTTTTTTTTTTTTTTTTTTTTTTTCTCTTCTTTATTTTCTTCTTTTTTCTTTTATCAAATTTTTAAAATTTCGTCTTAAAATTGTTTCTTCTTGTTTTGGGAAATTATTTTTAGGGGGCTAATGGCTAATCGCTGTCCTGTTATCATCACCCATTGCATGTATTTTTCTGTTTATTCAAATGATGCTTACAAAGGCAGGCGAAATGCAATACAAAAGAATGTTACTGGGTCAAAAACTTGACGTTAATTAAAAATGCAAACATTCGTGATTTGAGGTGCTAGCTAGGAAAGTAATTCACTAATATGGAGAGATTGCTATGGGGTGATTCGGAGTGCTAAAATTGTATTACAGGTGTTTCTTTTTGTATGATGTTTTTTTACACGTACAAGACCAGACTAAATTACATTATTTTAAATAATGAAATCTTCTTTTGTCTTTTTTTTCATTTTTAGCGGCACATATTTATTATAAATATCTGCCGCTAAAAACGATAAAAACGACAATACAAATTTTTTATTAAAATAAATAGACAGATCACAAATTTATGATAAATTTAAAATAAATAGCTTAAGTATCAATTGTATGAAATAATTGAAGAAAAGTTTAAAAATCAAAGTTAAAAATAAAATCAATGCTCTTAATTAAATAATAGTAATTATAAACTTTAAGAAAAAAACCAACTTACCAGTTTCAAAAAAATGAAGAACTTTATTTTTAAAAAAAACACGCTTAAATGCCGCCAACGCCAATTCTAAGTTTGAGAATGCTTTTTCATTTTAGATTTAAGTAAACGAATCAACAATACTATTAAACAAACTAATGGGCTAATTTGTAAATAAAAAGTCTCCGGTTAATGTCTGTACATGCAATTTCTGTAATAAAATTATTAATTTTTATGTTCGCTTTTTTAACTATCATTAGTTCCGTACAATTTTTTGACACCGTCTGATATTTCGGACTGACAATTGCTTCAAACTTATTATAAGTTTGTATGTTGCTTAATTTTAAATTTTTTATTTTTTTAAATATTTATTTTTAATTTTACTTTATAATTTTTAAAACAAGGGCGCTAGTCCGCAACTCGTCTGCAACTCGTCCGCAACTCGTCCGCAACTAGTCCGCAACTAGTCCGCAACTAGTCCGCTACTTAAAAAAAAGTATTTTAATTTTAAAAAATGAAAAGAAAACTTTCTGTACTTTTCTCCCGCGTTAAATTTTTGATATCGATATGGTATGATATAAAGTGACGCAGTTTTAAAATTGTTTTACACTTTTTAGTGTTTTACATCAAATTTAAATTTACTTAGTGTTGCTTATTTTTTATGAGTGAATTGTGACTTACATTGGTATTGCCATCATTCATCTGGTGAGTCTCGTTGGATTCTAGCAAAAAAATATAATTTTTTGGTGTTGGTTACGCATAAAAAGGTCCAAATCATGCATTTTTTTACTTCATCTGTTGTATCGTCCAGTGTGATTTATTCATGGAAGATGTAGCTGAAAACTGGCAGCTTGTAATAGGGATGCACAAAAGAATAGAAACACCTTTGAAATGCAAACCTTATAGAAAATTTAGATATTTTATTCATATGCGACAGAACATATAGAATATTATGTTCTTGGATTGATAGGTATTTTAACGCATCATAGACGGTGTTCAAACTAGTGGTCGCTGGTGTCGCCAACCTCAGGGCTGTCTTGGTGTCATTTGCTGATGTGATGGTCTTCTATCTTAGACATTCTATATCTTACGATTCTGCTGCTGGCTTTAAAAGGATTCAAATTGTATTTAAATTTAAACTTAGCAATATCTAGGTATCTTTACAACCCAGCAAGTTCATTATCTAAGCTGCACAACGACGGTAGTTTGGTATAATAATATCATCATTGCAACTTTCTGACCAGGATGAAAAAAGGATCCATCTTCTCTCTTTGTTTATCCTACTCGACTAAACTAAACCGGTTAAAGGCACTAGCATAGTTTGAAACATTTTCTGCAGTTGTTGCATAAACCTGAGGATAAAAAAATCTATTTAAAATACTAAGTTTTAATTGACTACAACACTTTTAAATTTGTAAAAAAAAAATTTTGGAACAAGAAACAGTTATCCGTTGTTTGTTTTTGAAACAAATTGCTTCTACACACTCTCCCGTTTACTCTATAATATATATAATATACACTATAATATATCATTTTGACTCTTTAAAAATGTTTCTGAGAATAAAAACTACAAATTAAAAAAAACCGTTAAAAAAAATATTTTGAAAAACGGAATGTAAAAAGCAATGAGAATGAGCTATTTTACATTATTACATTATTTTACATAAAAAATTTAAAATAGGAAGAACGTTGAATATAACCAATGTTCTTTACATTTGAAATTTCCTTATGTAAAATAATGTAAATAATGTAAAATAGTGACAAATGCAATGTATACATTGCATTGTTTATAATTTGTCATTATATGAAAAAAGGAGTTGTCGTGCAATAGGGTACCAATGCTTGTCAAACCCTTATTCCGACGCTGTCTTTAAGGTCCGAAAATGTAAAAAAAACGACTTATTCATTTAAAAGAGAACCTGCCTACCCCAAACCCTCAGTCGTTGTTTACACACTCTGCTGCATGTTCTCTCTAAAATTCAATCGGTGTATGTGTGCA